CCACAACCTTTTTGGGGCATCCAAGCCTCCTTAGGGCATCCACAGCCTCTCTGGGCAATAGATAACCCTGGCAGCCCCAACCCTGGCAGTGTTCACAGCCAGGTTGGCTAAAGCCTTGAGCAACCTGCTCTGGTGGGAAGTGTCCCTGCCCTGAGCAAGGGGTTTGGGCTGGATGATCTCTAAACTCCATCCCAACCCCTTAACATACTCTGACCTACTAATTTGCTCCAGCCTGGCCTGGGACGCTTCCAGGGTTGGGACAGCCACAGCTTCTCTGTCCAAATGTGTTCTCTGGTCATGGGTAGGAGCTCAGATAGCTCAGGACTGTGTGTCCTGGGATCCCTTCATGGTGCTTTAAGCAGCAGTGGGGGTAGGACTGTGTGTGTGTGGTGGCTGTTGGGTGTCCTCACCCCTGGTTTGTTGCAGACCACCCCGGTGACCATGCAGGTGGGAGAAGGTCAGCAGGTCCAGATAGTGCAGGCCCAACCCCAGGGCCAGACCCAACAGGCTCAGAGTGGAGCTGGGCAGACCATGCAAGTCATGCAACAAATCATCACCAACACGGGAGAAATCCAACAGATTCCGGTAAGATTCTCCCAGTGGGAATGTGGCAGAACTTTTGTGAGCACACTGTGAGCTGAGGTCCTGGCATGAGGCTGGACATGGTGACTTTTTAACTGGGAGTTTGGATTGAGTGCTGTGTTTCCTGCACTTCAGAGAGGAAAACTAACCAGGTGTGACCTGAAGGGAGAAATCAATCTAATCCACCTAGCACAGACTCATTGCCCACCCCAAACACCTTCCCTGAGGGAAACAGGAAGAAATAAATGAAATCTTTTCCTGGATAAACCTTAGTTCTTTGCCACAATAAAGCAGAATTCCCTTCTTTTGCCTTTACTTGGTTCTGCCTCTGCAGTGGGAAGTCAGGACCTGGCAGGCTGAGTGGGAAAGGTGCCAGCTGGGAGTTATTAATAAACTCCTCTGTCCCAACAAATATTTCTGCTAAAACACTCTTTGCTGGTTGGAGGAACAGCCTTGCAGAATCTGGAGTTATCTCCTTGCCTGTCCCATCAGTTCAGACCTGCTGGATTTGGGATTTGGGGCACTCAGCAGCAACAGGAACATTCTGACCTGTGTCCTGGGTAAACATACAGGGCCAAAAAAAGTCACGTTTTCCCTCTTCCCTGTAACTTCTAATCACAACAAAGCTGAGGCTTTACCTTCCCATCTGGAAAATTTCACAGCTCTTCTAGGGAAAACAGAATCAGCTCAGTTCTGTGTACTCACCACAGAGCTCAAAGGTCACCCAGTGGCAGAAAAACTTCTCCCTTGGATTTCTTGTATGCAGTGTCCTCACAGCTGGGGCAAAACTGAATTTTCACACAGATTCTGCCTTTCAACACTTCCCTCTGCACGTCTGGCAAGTGTTTGTGCTGTGACAGAGCATCTTGAGGAGGTTTGCAGTTGGGACTTGCCAGATTTTCCCAACTCATTCACACATTCCTTTCATCTCTCAAGTCTTCAGCTGATTCCTGGTGGCCACCAAGGAATTGCCAAATAGGGTGGTTTACTACAGGCAACTTTTTTTTTAATTCTCTGCATTCTGCTTTCTTGGGACATCCTTTTCCTTCTTTTCCTTATGGAAGTGTCTCCAAAGACTTGTTCCTCAAATCCTTGTGGAAGGAGATCTCCAGCTTCATTACCCCAGCACTGAATGTTGCAGCATCAGCTATAAAACAGTTCAGACTTATTCCCAGTTGTCTCCAGTGAATACTTAGAGATACAAGAAGGAGCTTGGAGAAAAGAATTCCTCATCCAGTAGCTGTGAGGGAGCTCTGACCTGCTGAAGGTCCAGATGGACCTGTGGGAAGTGATCCTGTGTTTTCAGATTGGAGGTTTAGTCATTAGGGTCTGATTTTGGCCAAGCAGATGATGATTCTACCTTCTTTTTCCTGGGAGTGTGGAAGAACAGGGAGCTGTGACAGGTCCTCAGAAGCTTCAGATGTGAGACAGAACTGCCAAGTGGCATCTGCTGAGGAGCACTTGGATCTGTGAGGACTCAGAGGCTGCAGATCAGTGTGTGACAGTCACAGCTCAGGTCTCTGTGTGGCAAAAATACTCCTGAGCTGTAATTAAGAGGGTTCTCCTCAATCCTAACCACTTGAGGACCCACAGTTGGTGCTGAAGGAGCTTCCAGCAAGTGAAGTAAAACAACATGGACCCACAAAATCACTGTAGGAGCTTTCAGTGCCCAACCTGGAGAGCACTTTGGGTTGGTTTCACACAATTCCTGACCTTGGTCTCTCCGTTCTGCTCTTCCTGCTGTGCTTTTCTGGTTTCTCCATGGCTTCCCTTCTCTCTTGGCACAGTGCTGTCCTCTCAGAGTTCCTCCTCTGGGCACTGTGGTGTCTGTGAGGCTCCAGCAAAGATTCTTTCATCCCCCAGACCCATCAGTTTGAAACCCTCACAGAGCTGGAAGTGCCTCTGGGCACTGCAGGAGTGTTGAGTGGATCTCACTCATAGTCTCTGCTGCTTTGCCACATTCTCATGGTACCTTTGACTCCAGGACCACAATTTGCTTGTGGATAGCTGAGACAAACTGCAAGTGTAGCATCAGTTAAATGAGAATCACTTGTTTGCCCACACTGGTTTTTGGTTTAATCTGTGTCTTATCTCAGCAGTTTCCTTGGAGCTTCCTCTCCTTCCTGCAAGGATTATTTCCACATCACTTCCACCCAGGATGTAGTTAAAATCTAAGCCCCTCAGCATGGCAAACACGATCTCCAGACAGATCTCAGGGCAGGAACAAATTCCTTGTTGAAATGTTTTTTTGCCCACGGAGAGTTTATTTGCTCTTGGAATAATATTGGAGCCTTTCAGACACAGCTGGTGGAGTCAGTGGCATTTTGTGTGGGTGCCAAGACCACGTTCCAGGCACTTGAACCTTTATCAGTCAGCACTTTCAAAAGTGTTTGGCATGTTCTTCTCTCCCCTTCTTAAAAAGGAGACAACTCAACCCATTTTCTCATGTAGAATTAACCTTTAGACTGTGAATCAGAATGGAAACCCAACAGTGTCACACTGTGACCTTCTCATTGCTCTCAGGTGTGAATTACCAGTGTGACCTGTTTGTACCAGCAGCTATAATGACATGGCCTTTCTGTCCCACACCCCCAAGCAGCCAAGCTCAGGGTTTTAGGGGAGAAATTTGGGGTTGAAGCTCACACATGTAAGTGCTGAGCCAACAAGGCTCAACCTTTGCCAGGTGGGGGTTGACATATATTGCCAGAGAAGTTGCATTCAAAGCTTCCAGATATATCCTTGCGTGGTTTTGCCATCTCTGCTGCCTCTATGTGGGGAAAAAAAATAAAAAATAATCCCATATAGTCTTTATTTTGGGTAGGATATGATAAGAGTTGTCCTGTGCAGCAGCTCCCAACATTTTTCTCTCTGCGCAATGAGCCCTCAAAGCAAGAACTCCATTCCCATCACCAAAACAAACCCTAAGTGTTCTCCACTGAGCTTTAATTAATATGCTTTAGCTACTAACTGACCACTCCCAACCTGGAGAAAGGAAGAATGTTGTCCCTCAGGACTTATGGTTCTTACCTTGGCAGAGTCCACCGATAGTTCCTCACCGTGCGGGGGGAACCGTTAAAAATCACCTGCAGCTCCTTGGGGTGATCCAATACTCGTTGGAAAGGAGCAAGGCAAAGTTTGTGTGTGTCGAGGTTACCCAGTTGTCTGTTTAATTTTCTTTCCCTGCCCCCTCCACTTGTCTCCAGGTTCAGTTGAATGCTGGCCAGCTGCAGTATATCCGCTTAGCCCAACCCGTGTCAGGCACGCAGGTAGTCCAGGGGCAGATCCAGACGCTTGCAGCCAATGCACAGCAGGTATGCACTCTCCAGCAGGCCTCACTTAACTGGTAAAATGTTCTTCCCTAGCTCCTGGAACTACAAAGTTTCCCAAGGATTCACCTCTTGGGCTAGGTGACTTTCTTTCCTTCCTGGTTTGGTCAGAGCTCCGAAGCGTTAGCCACGTTTTGCAAGGTGCATGCCAATGTTTGTGTGAGTGTGTGTGTGTCTCTCTGGAGAAAGCTCACACTGTGCTGAGCTCATTGCAGGTAACACTTTGGTTCATCCACCTTCTCTTTATTTCTGCTCCTTCTGCCTGGGTGAGGGAGGAGCTGTGCAGCCTCCGAGGAGAGAGAGGTATAACGGCAGGACCAGCAGGTTGTCTCCTCTTCTTGTTGAGGCTGAGGGATTGGTTCTTCTCTGCCTTCCTGCTGCTTTTTTGTGATCCTGGAGGCCACGTTCTCCTCAGGAAAGTCAGACAGGACGTGGTTGTGTTTGGTTTGGAAGGACTGAATGCCATGGCCTTGGCTCTTGAGCACCAGTGTGGCTGTGTCACACCACACTTGTGGGGTCAGGAGGTTTGGCAGAGGTTAAAAGCTCTCCAAAAGCAGCAGCAGAATATTGGGGGAGGGGGTTTGACCCTCTGTGAAGGGCTGTCACTGATCCATCTGCTCCTCTCCTTGTAGATAACACAGACAGAAGTCCAGCAAGGGCAGCAGCAGTTCAGCCAGTTCACAGATGGACAGGTAAGAGCTTTGGGATTGGGGCTACAACCCTTGGAGGTTGAGGGACAGAAGGACTGTCCTAAATCTGCATGTCCTAAATCAGCTCTTCCAGATCCAGCACTGCTGCTGCTCCCAGACCCTCCCCTGGAGCAGGATCCCCAGGCTTAGTTCAGGTGGATTCTTAGTGTTCTGCTGCCTTTGCTCCTAATGAACCCCTGGCAGCCTGGGAGAGATTCATTTCAGTCCTGATTAGTTTAGAGATAAAGGTGTTAATATCTAGCTATTGCCTCTTGCAGAAGTATCATGGAGTCATGGAATGGGTTGGGTTGGAAGGAACTTAAAGCTCATCTCATCCCAACACCTTCCACTAGCCCAGGTTGCTCCAAGCTCCATCCAACCTGGCCTGGAACTCTCCCAGGGATGGAACAGCCAATGCTGCTCTGGGCAACCTGTGCCAGAGCCTCAGCACCTCAGAGGGAAGGATTCCTTCCCAGTATCCCACCTATCCCTGCCCTCTGGCAGTGGGAAACCCTTCCCTGTGTGTTGTCCCTCCAGGCTCATGGCAGTAATTTCTCCCCATCTTTCTTGTAGCAATTAGGTCACCCTAAAGCTCAGCACCCTCACAGGGCAGAAGTGACCTGATGTCAGTTGGAGCAGCAGAAATTCTCAGCAGGACTTTGTAATGACAACACCAAATTTCTAGTGCCAACTGATGATCTGGTTGGGGTTTGCTGTGGGGCAGATCTCAGCTGGGCCCGGGAGGTGCTGCTTGTGGGTCATGCTGGGTGTGAGCAGAACTGACAAGTGTTTTAATTCCCTTCTCCTGTCCTGCAGCAGCTGTACCAGATCCAACAAGTGACCATGCCTGCAGGTCAGGACATCACCCAACCCATGTTCATCCAGTCCACCAACCAGAGCTCGGACACCCAGGCCACGCAGGTGACAGGGGACTGAGCAGGGACCTTGGGGCAAGTCCTCTCTGGGTGCAAAGCAACTCAAACCAACACCACCCACCTTGACATCTCTGCCAAACCAACCTGGTGTGATGACTCCACCTGCTCTGTGTACCTGTCCTCGATAGTGAGCCTATAATAGGCTTCAGTCTCTGGTGCACTCTACAACCTTTCTCTGGTGGGTATGAGAATATCCAACAGACTCTGACAAGAATGCAAGATTTTTATTTTTCAATCCATTTTTTTCAGTGTATTCAGCTGCTTGATCAACCCCAGAGAGAGCTAACCAAAAGGAATTGGTAGCATCTCATGGAACAATGTTTTTCTCTCTGGTAAAAAGTCTCAGAGGGTTCTCTGAGGTGTTTGGCTCAGAGCTCTGTTCCTGCTCTTCTGTTTGTATTTTTATTTTTTTTTCTCCTCTGGCTAGAGCTAGATTTGGTCCTCCCATCTCAGTGGGTTTTTGGGGTGTTTGGGGGGAGTGTGTGTGAGTGTGTGTGTGTGTGTGTGTGTGTTAGATTTGCCTCTCCTGCCTCCTCTTCTGGAGCATTGGCTCTGTGCAGGGAGGAGGAGAAGAGGAATTTCAAGTGAAAAAAAACCCAACAAACATTCCTTGTATTATGATTGTATTTTCTAAGGGCAAAAAAAGACTCTTGAATTTGGCCTCTTTATTCCAGAGAAAGTGCTGGAATCTGGGCAAACCCTGCTGTTACCTGTTGTTCTGGCTTTGGTCCATGCATGTAATATAAGCTTCAGAAAAGGAAATAAATTGCTTTTGTCAGATCCTGTGTGTGCTGTGTGAGGTTCAGAGATACTGGGGTACCCTCCTGGATCCCTGGGAATATTCCACCTGGAACAGGGAAAGCCAACAAGGGTTTAAGGGTGACCTGGACAAGGGGTTGGATGAGGCTCAGGTCAGGTGAGTAGTGTTGGGTTAAGTGGAGGAAATTTCAACCATTCAGGTTGGTAAAACCCTCCAAGACCATCAAATCCAACCTGTGACCCATCACCACCTTCTCACCTAGCCCAGAGCACTGAGTGCCACATCCTGTTATTCCTTGGACACTTCCAGGGATGGTGACTCCAGGGCAGCTCCTGACAGCTCTTTCCATGGAGAAATCCCTCCTGATGTCCAACCTGAACCTGGCCTGGCACAGCTTGAGGCTGTTTCCTCTTGTCCAGCCTCTTGTTGTTGGGATTCCAACCTTTACCTGGCTCCAGCCTCATCCAGCCCAGCCTTACCCACCTCCTCCTTGCCATGCAGCATGGTCTGGGTGGAGAGCTGAGCTACCTCCCACAGCAAGGCCATGAACTAAGGGATTCCTTCCATGGAGTGCAGCCCTTTAATCACAGGTACCAATGCAGCTGCCACATCCATGTCCCCTGATGCAGCAGAGAGGAGTTGGAGCCTCAGCCCTTGCCTGACTCCTTGGCCCATCCCACACCTCTATCCCAGGCTGTGACACGTGTGAGGTTGTCACCTGTGCCCTGTGGGTGCTTCCCTGGCAGTGCCCAGCCCAGCAGCACAGGCTGGAGGTGAGGAATTCACCCTGGCACAGCTGCCCACCTTGCCCTGCTGCAGGTGTTCCCCGTGCCAGGAGCAGCAGCAGCTGCTGCCACGACAGGAAAACTCCACTTCAGCACTTGGCTGCTGAATCTGGGCCTCGTTGTTCCAGCCTGACAGCATTTCCTGCATCCCCTGGGCTTTGGAAACGTCAGTCTTCTCCTCCTTGAGGTTTTCCCGGGAGCAGCAGCAGTGAGAGGGATGCGGTCGGTGCCCGCAGGAGCATCACCGCGCTGGTCCAGGGCAGAGCCGGGATGGGACTGGGTGGAGGAGCATGGAAAAGGTGAAATCGGGAGGAAAATGATCATTTGGGAAAGCTCCGAGCGTGGGATCGGCCACGAGAGGGCTCCCGTGGGAAGGGCTGGAGCGCGATGGGATAGCCGGGATGGGGCTCGGAGGTCCTTTCCCTTGGAG